TTTAGTTTGTGTCTTGTTTTATCTTGTTTTATTTAGTTGTATTTTGTTTTGTCTTGTTTTATTTTGTCTTGTTTTTTTGGTCCTGTCTCATTTTGTCTTGTCTCATTTTGTCTTGTCTCGATTTGTCTTAACTCATTACGTTTTGTCTCATTTTGTTTCGTTTTGTCTCATTTTGTTTAGTTTTTGTCTTGTTTTGTCTTGTTTTATTTAGTTGTATTTTGTTTGTCTTGTTTTATTTTATTTTATTTAGTTTTATTTAGTTTTGTCTTGTTTTATTTAGTTTTATTTTGTCTTGTTTTATTGGTCCTGACTCATTTTGTTTTGTTTTTGTCTTATTTTATTTAGTTGTATTTTGTTTTGTCTTGTTTTATTTTGTCTTGTTTTTTTTGTCCTGTCTTATTTTGTCTTGTCTCAATTTGTCTTCATTCATTTTGTTTTGTCTCGTTTTGTCTCATTTTGTTTTGTTTCGTTTTGTCTCATTTTGTCTTGTTTCGTCTTGTTTTATTTAGTTGTATTTTGTTTTGTCTTGTTTTATTTGTTTGATTTAGTTTTATTTTGTCTTGTTTTTTGGTCCTGACTCATTTTGTTTTGTTTTTGTCTTGTTTTGTCTTGTTTTATTTAGTTGTATTTTGTTTTGTCTTGTTTTTTTTTGGTCCTGTCTCATTTTGTTTCGATTTGTCTTCACTCATTTTGTTTTGTCTTGTTTTGTTTTGTCTCGTTTTGTCATTTTGTTTTGTTTCATTTTGTCTCATTTTGTTTTGTTTTTGTCTTGTTTTGTCTTGTTTTATTTAGTTTTATTTACTTTTATTTTGTCTAGTTTTTTTGGTCCTGTCTCATTTTGTCTCATCTCGTTTCGTTTTGTCTCGTTTTGTTTCATTTTGTCTCATTTTGTTTCGTTTTGTCTTTTGTCTTGTTTTGTTTCGTTTCGTCTTGTTTTGTCTCATCTCATTTTGTCTTGTCTTGTTTTACTTAGTTGTATTTTGTATTGTCTTGTTTTGTTTTATTTAGTTTTATTTTGTCTTGTTTTTTTGGTCCTGCCTCATTTTGTTTCGTCTCGTTTTATTTTGTCTCATTTCGTCTCATTTTGTTTTGTTTTGTTTTATTTTTTCTTGTCTTGTTTCGTTCCTGGAAGAGGTTTGTTGGGAGCTGAGCTGAAAGCTGAAGTAAGATCCTTAATAAATGAGCTGACTGTGACCCGGAGCAGCTGGTTCTGGATCATAAAACCATTAAAGTCATAAAAGGAGAACAGGAAGTGCTGATGTCAGCAGGTGTGAGACGACAACATGGTTACACACAAGTCAAAGTTGGATCAACACGTTGTCATTTCTCCTACCTGTCCTGCAGAAACTTCTCTTTAGGAAAATGGAAAAGTGAATCAGATTGTTGTTTGTGTTGATGCTTTAATTTAGTTTTTTGTTGTTGTTGTTTTGTGTGTTTTTTTTTCTAATTTACTTTTATTTGTACATATTCTGGGGATAAAAAGGGGCAGATATAAGATTTATTCTTCTTCTTCTGCTGCCTTTCATTTTATTTGATTTTTGGTTGTATGATTTTCTTTTCTCTTTATATAATTGCTTTAAATGAAATTAATAAAATTTCTAAATAAAAAAATAAAAATAAAATTTATGTGAAAATATGAAATTATTGACTAATATATGATTTTAAGCTGATTTTAGCTGATAAACTCTGCTCAATTGTTTGTTTTTTTGGCTTTAAGGATCTTTTTTATACAGAAAAGACACTAAAATAAAAATGAGGAAAAACAACGTACAAATATAAATGTATAAATATCTCATATTTTATAGAATCACTGATAAATAAATAAAAAACAGATCCTGCAGAATAATCAGGATAATTCTGCTCTGTCTTCAACTTTAATTAAAGTTTCCTTTAAAGGCTGAGAAAACAAACATTATTTACTTCGTTGAGCTGAAACTGAAGCAGCCGAGCCCTCCCTGCAGCACCAGCTGTCACCCAACGAGCTCCTCTCCAAACAAAAATACTAAATTATTATTATTTATTTTAATTTGTCACACGGAGCTCAGCGAGCAGAGGGTCGACCTGACGGTTTCACCCAGGTCGACCTGTGGAGCTGCAGGAGGTTTTTAATTAAAAATAAAATAAAAATAAAACTCAAGCTGTTGGATAAAAACCAGCAGGAACCCCTCAGTGTGCCCACCTGCTGCTTCAGAAAACCTGCTTTCATCCAGTCAGGGTTGGATTATAACAACTTACTGCTGCGAACACTTCAAAACTTTATGATGTTCAGATCTGCAGAAATATGAAGGAAAATATCTGAAACTTGTTAAATCATCTCAGCGTTTTGATACAAATATTAGACGAAGATGTTTTGTTTGCATGAAGCGCTGCGTGGAAATCAGGCAAAGATCCAGGCAGGAAACGATCCCACAGTTCCCATTCATCCCATCAGGCTGGAGGTAAAACCACTCTGATACCTGAGAGAAACACCTGTTCACCTGTCTGCTCCAGCTCCTAATCTAATCTAATCTAATCTAAACTAGAAAAAATACACGTTTTTATTATAGGACACTAAAATAAAAAATGTTTTACTTCATAAAAGAAAGAATTCATCCAAAAAAAAAACACCGTCCCTTTTCATAAACGTCTTTTAACTGAATTTAAACACAATTTTTA